GTTCCCAGAATCCCACCAGCCCTTTGGGCGTGAGTGGTTTAGCGAGCTCTCTCTGTCCTCAACCCCGCATCTTCCCCTTCGGGGAGGGGTTTACCCCTCCCCCTACCCCCTCCCCCTGGACCTGGAGAGGGAGTTCCGAGTGGTGTCAAGGGGGTCTTATTCGACGCCTGGGAGGGCCAAAAAACGACGACCCTCAGGAGGATTCTGGCCCCGAGGGGGGGGGGGGGGGGAGTTTGGTGCCTCAGCTCGTCTTTGAAGCAGAAATCATTGTTTTTACTAGGGTTTCGGCCCCATTTTGGGTCTGAGGGGGCAGCGCTCATCGTCCTTCATAGCAAAACCATTGAAACAAACTTCTGAGGAGGTCGCAGGGGGTCGCAAGAGGCCCCAATATGGCACCAAGAGGCCCCCAGAAGGCTCCCAAGAGGCCCCCAAGAGGCCCCCAAGAGTCCCCCAAGAGGCCCCAAGAGGCCCCCAAGAGGCCCCCAAGAGGCCCCCAAGAGGCCCCAAGAGGCGCCAAGAGGCCCCCAAGAGGCCCCCAAGAGGCCCCCAAGAGGCCCCCAAGAGGCCCCCAAGAGGCCCCAAGAGGCTCCAAGAGGCCCCCAAGAGGCCCCACGAGGAGCCCGAACGACTCACACCAGGACGAGGGGCCCGAACGACACACACCACGAAGAGCCCGAACGACTCACACCACAAGGAGGGGCCCGAACGACTCACACCAGGACGAGGCGCCCGAACGACTCACACCACGAGGAGCCCGAACGACTCACACCACGACGCGGGCCCCGAACGACTCACACCACGAGGAGCCGGAACGAGTCACACCAGGAGGAGGGGCCCGAACGACTCACACCAGGACGATGGGCCCGAACAACTCACACCACGAGAAGCCCGAACGACTCACACCAGGACGAAGAGCCCGAACGACTCACACCACGAAGAGCCCGAACGACTCACACCAGGAAGAAGGGCCCGAACGACTCACACCAGGACGAGAAACCCCAAACGACTCAAACCACGAGGAGCGCTTTCTCTCTCTCTCCTCCTCCGCCTCGTCCTTCTCCCGCTCCCCCCACAAGGAGGATGTACAAGGAGGCGGGAGGAAGGAGGAACAGGGAAGATATGCGGGGCCAAGCGGACACACGCCTGAAAAACACGACTGTCGGCATGCTTCGCAAGAGTTGCTGCTGTGAGATGGGCTGGTGGGGATAGCGTAAAGAATT